CCTCCGGCGGGCGGAAGTCCTGCGCGTAGCCCTGCCCTGGCCTCCGTTCGGCCTGTGAGGGAAAGCGCTGCCTCGGGGGCAGAGCCTCCGCGGGGCCCGCAGAGCCTCCTAACGCCCCTGGAAAGGCCTGGCCCTCTGGCGAAGGTGGGTGCAGAGCTGCGTGCTTGAGCAGGGAGATAGTTGGATGGTGCATCCCAGTGTCCTGTGTCTCTCTCTGTATACTGATCCTTTAGTAAGAAAAGAGCACCCGCCGGTAGTAGTCTTCTGCTGTATTACTTGTTTTCATTGCTGCAAATAGCATTGTGCTTTTTACTGCTCTTTATTCACTTTTTCCTCAACAACACACTTGGTCTCCCAGTTTATTCTTCCTGGTGCTTCTCCAGCTTTGACTTATCTTACTTGCACAATTTTTCTAGTCTTTGCTGTTGCCTGTTTAGTAGGGTTTTTCACGTAAGTAAAGCTTGTAGCAGATAAAGTGCAAGTGTATAAGTTTAATTTTTCAGTACTGTTTTGAAAGTGATACTAAAAAGTTGAGGCTTGAATTAGCCAAATATTCATCATTGTTGCCTTTTTTGTCTCGCTGTACATGATCATCCTCTCCATTTCAAGTCTGGCTTTGGCTGGATGTTGCCAAATGTGTGGATCAGCAAGTGCCTCTTCTGTTATTCTCTGTAGGTTTTCTTACAGGCACTTCAGTGACGCTTTTACTTTACAAATCATTGCAAGACCCGAGTGAATGTTTCGCTAGTATTACATCAGTATTTGACTGATATCTCTGAAACGTCCTAAACTGTATGAAAAGGCAAAATAGAATGTTATCTTCCTTCATATTTTACAAAAATATTTTTTCCACTATTTTAAGTTTTCCATATTACATGTGTAGAAACTAATAATATATTGAACTGTTTTTAATAAAATCCACACTTTTGGGGAGGGAAGAAATTAACAGGAGTATTTCTCTTTAGTAATTAATGTATGATAAATCAGCTGGATGTGCAAGCAGCTAAGACTTATGTCAGCAAATTGTCTCACTCAAAGCAGTGTATTTATCGGATGTCTTTAAGTTTAATTGAAATTTAACTGCCCAGCTTTTCATGGAGTTGTGTGTCCTCAATGGGTCAACAGTTGTTTGTGCTGTCTTTGCAGTGACTAATTAGAAATTGTATTTTCAGTATTGCAGAAAAAGAAAACATGGCAGCTGTTGCTGCTAGAAAGAAAGAAGTCACTAAAGACCTGGATCATTGCGATATCCCATACTATGTTTCTGAATTTGTGGAAAGAGAAGTTGGAAATGACTATGCTTCTCTGAGGAAGCTCGACAACCTAATTGATAAGCTATCTGAAAATAAGAAGCAGTTAGAAGAACAGGTAAGCATATTTCCTTTTTTCCTCTCTCTTTCTGAATATGCTATATGACTGATTAAGTGTATTTAACTAAATTAAAACAATGCATTAATATCTCAATGGTAATGCTCTACATAGTGCAGTGTTTATGTCAGACTTACTATTTCTCTGTGAATGTAGGTACTTACAGTTTCATCGGAAGTCCCTAAAAGAATTCAAAATGCCTTAAAGAATGCAGAAGATTCTAAAAAGTCTCTGAGCCGGCTCCTAGAGGAAGAAACCCTTTTATCTGATTCAATCAACAGCCACTTACTGAAAGCTCAGCCATGGATGGAGGATCTCGATGTACTGATTAGCCAGGTAGAAGAGATTGAACGACACCTGTCCTATCTGAAATGGATTTCACAAATAGAAGAGTTAAGGTAAAATTTGAGTACCGCATATATGTTCTGAGACTGGTGACCTAGTTTGTCCCATTATTAAAATGGTTTTGATTTGGGAAAGATATATCTTCATTTTTCAATGTACAAATGATTCTTTTCTGTTATCTTTAATCAGTTTTTGGCCTTGACTTTCCTTGTATTTTGTAGTGATAGCATTCAGCAATATCTGATGACCAACAATGTTCCAGAGGCAGCCAGTACTCTGGCATTCATGGCAGAACTGGATATTAAACTTCAGGACTCATCTTGCTCTCATCTTCTTGCTTTTGTGAGATCCACTGTTCAATTCTGGCATAAAATCCTTAAGGACAAGTTGTCGAGGTAAGTGATGTACCGTCACCCTCTCGTCTTTGCATTGCACTGTGAGTTCATCTTGAAGTGCTTGTTTTGCCTTGCAGTGACTTTGAAGAGGTGCTAACCCAGCTCCGCTGGCCATTTGTGGGGCCACCACAGTCTCAGGCATTTGGCCTTGCTGCACCAGCCAGTGCTCCTGATGTATACAACAATTTGGAGATGTTGTTTTGTCAGCTTCTGAAGTTGCAAACCTCGTATCCTTCTGAATAGTTGTTGTGTATTTTAATAAGAATAATAAACATCAAGAGATGCACATTCTCAAGGAGAATTATTTAAATTTTTGCTCTCTCTAAAGATAGAAGATAATTTGAATTTATGCTACTTTGTATTAACTTTATAATGTATTTTTTTCTGTTGTTTAGAAAATGCCAGGTGCAAAGTTGTCTTTTTTAGCAGTAACAACATTGTAACTCCAAGTCATGAGATCTAGTGAGCTCATGGTAGCTGACATTTCAGGTTTCACCGGGATCAGGCCTTACACGTTTCAGCAAGATTAACAGTGTTAAAAGTGGTTTTGTGTATTTTATTTTACACAGTTAATGCTTTTCCTTTCACAGCCTTATTCGAAATTAGCCTTAATCACTTTATTATGTTCCATCCCAGAAAGAAAAGAGAGAAAGGTAAAGATACATGTCTTGAACTTTGCAAAAGGGAGACTATGAAAGAATTTTCATTGTCCAGTGTAGTAGTCTGCCTTTGAGGTTTATGAGAAGACACTGCTGCACATCCTGTTCCTTTTTTTTTCTTGTGTGAATTAAATCCCAGTTAAAGCTAACCAAGAATTGTTTCCTGAAGTGGATATTACTGTGTTTTCTGTTGTTTTTTTTTCTTGTTGATCAAGGAGTGGGAAGCTAGAAAGCCATTCTGCGCAACCCTGAGTCGGTAACAATTTTGGCCTGGCAGACTGGATGATCACTTAAATCAGTTACGTGAAAATGGGAAATAATGTATTGCATTTATTAACCTCATGAGTCCTTTATTCTCCTTTAACAAATAAGAAAAAGCATGTCTCTTGGACAGTCCTTGTGTTTGGTACTGATCATGGTGGTTTTCTGTGATACTATTTTTTTTTAAAGTGAATTTCCTAAACCATGTTGACTTAAGTGACTTGTATTGTCATTGAATAAATAATCCTTAGCAGCCTGAGGTGTATTAAATTACAATTATATAAACTGAAATGTTTTGAGTATACTTCATATTTGAGGAATAGTACTGATTGCATAATACTTCCTTCAGCCAATGAGGCAGAACTAAGAAATGTTAATTTTCATGAACTCATTCTGTTGAAATGATGATGTCGGGAGAATTCAACACTTAAATTTGTCCTTAGCTGTCAAACTTAGAGATGAACTCTTAACCAAACCTAAACAGTTGCCAGAAAAGTACTCTTTACCCCCATCACCACCCATTATCCTTCCGATACAGATCATGCTGAATCCTCTTCAGAAAAGATTCAAGTATCATTTCACTGGAAATAAACAAACCAATGTTTTAAGCAAGGTATGGGAGAAAGCAGTATGATTTTTTTGTTTGTTTGTTTTGTTTTGTTTTAGCAAGAGGTAGATTGCTGCATTTAAATTGTGTAGCTTTAGCACTTTCCTTTTTGAAATTAGGATTCTTCAAAGCTGCAGTTCTTGTGCATACCTAAGTGTGGACTGACATCAAGACAGCACTTGGACACCTTTCAGAGGCACATGCATTTTCTCTGGGTCTGGAGATACTTATCCCTTATCCAAATCCCTTAGAAAGCATTACTGCAACCTTAGACTGACTCCTATGGTTTCAGAAGCTTCGATTAATTTCTTCTGCTTGCAAGTGGTTTTGGATGGTTCTTTGTTGCTTGAGCTCAAAGGCTGTCCAAAGCTGTGACTTTGATTTTTGGCATTGTCACGTAACTGAGAATGTTGGATTCTGCTGTTAGTATAGAAATGATTCTGAAGGCACTGTTACATAATTAGTTTTCTGGATTAAATTTTGTAGTTTACATGTAGCAAGATGTCCAGTTTACCAGTTGGACACTGACTCACTTCTTCACATCTTCAGAGTCTGGATTTTTATCCAAGAAATTGGAACAGGTTTCAATGCGTTAATGCTGTTGTAATGTATGTGCAGCAGTTTCAGAGCTGCTTTGTAATAGTTTAATTGTGCAAGTCTGTGTGCTCGTGTTGACAGTCTTGAGTAAATGAAAATATATTTGCAGTCTTGATAGTTGCTACTACAGCGCTTTTAAAAATAAAGTTATGTATATTAATGGGGAGGAGGTATTTTAGACATTAATGGAATTATTTCATAAGTAAATGGGAAAAGTATGTTCAAGAGATGAAATTTGTGAACAACGGTAGGTGAGCTGTTTTGCTTAAAAAAACTTGTGAAGTTTGCAGATAATCTAGTGTCAGATCAGAAAGGATATTCCAACAGGGTCTCGCTCAGATTTGGGTGGGTTGGTTGGTAGGTTTTGGTTTTGGTTTGTTGTTTTGTTTGTTTTGAGTTGGGTTGTTGGGCTTGGTTGTTTGGAGTTCTTTTAATAATTTTGATAATGCAATAAAGAAAACGTCCATGTAAGATATTTAAAAGACATCAACCTGGAAGAGATTACCAGTATTTCAGAGGACAGGCAGAGTTCACAATCATCTTGGCAAGTTGGGGAGGGAGTGTCGGGGAAGAAAAGGAAAAAAAAAAGAGATGAAATTCTATAGACAAGTGAAAATTAATACAGAAATGAGAAACAGACACACAAAATGTGAGGAACATGAGTGCGGTTCAACAGGAGGTTTTTTGGCTGTTGGGAGTGAGGAGGAAAGGAGTTGCTTCTGCTTATATTAACACTGAAAGAAGCTTTCATCAAACCTATAACCCATATTTTTAGCTGTGGGAGCTGTAAAAGCTTAAAGCTGTTACAAAGCAAAATGAGAAGGCGATAGATTCCCCATTTGCAATGTGGGCTGAGGTTGCGTACAATGACAGTAAGAACGGAGCTACTGGGAAGAATTTTCTCGGGAGTGCGTACTTTTTGCTGTACCAAGAAATAAAGACCACACAGAGCAGGAGGCAGTATGCAAAGCAAAAAAAGAGGACCTCGTGAGTGAGAAAGCAGTAGAGAAGGGGGAGAAAAAATGGAGTTTTGCTTGACAAGAAACAAAATAATTGGTGCTTTTAAGTCAGTTCAGATTCAGAAATACTTCTCTGATACAGCTTTTATAAAAGCGAAGCTAAGTAAAACACAGTGGAAGACTTGTGTGATGTGAGATCAAGAGAAGGCCGGGAAAGAGACTGATATTTTTAAGAATTTGTCATAAAATATTAGTAGCACTTAAATGTTGTTTGGATGAATTTAATATTTTACTTTCTTTTTATATAAGCCTGAGTGGTATCTAACACAAGTACTTATGTGGATTGGAAATCATGCAAAGTTCCTTGATGACAAGATCCAGCCAATACTGGACAAGGCAGGATCTTCAGTGAATGCTGGGGTAAGCACTTTAAGGGTTTTATATATCTGAATATGTAAGTTAACTTCGGATAGGTGTTTGAGCCCACTTCCACTGGTTTCACTAAATACGTGGTGAGACTTAAGTCAGTCTAGGAGCAGTTTATGTACATGTTTGCACTTCTTAATACTTCTTATCTCTGACATTTTATTCCCTTTTTTCTTTTGAAAGCTTGAATTCTCTCGTGCTCTAGTAATGCTGATTTTGGAGAAGCTGGCTGCTGATATTCCATGCCTGTTGTATGATGATACACTCTTTTGTCACCTTGTGGATGAGGTACTTCTGTTTGAGAGAGAGTTATACAGCGTTCATGGTTATCTCAGCAGCTTTCCCAGTTGCATGCATATTCTGTCAGAAGAATCCTGCTTCCAAAGGTGGCTAACAGTGGAAAAAAAATGTAAGACTTCAAGTGGATTTTGTTTGCCTTTATATTGCACAGTCGGAAAGAAGATGTGTATACTTACACAAGTAGTCTTCTCATATAGGATCATCATGATTGTTTTGACTAAAACTTGGTTAGGCTCTAATAGTGCTGCTGTAGTTTGTAGGACTCTTGCCCATAAGCTGTATGGAATGCAGTAAGCTTACTTTTAGACAAATGTTATACTTGTATGTGTAACAGACAAGGATGAACTTGAAGTTGAAATAGGGGAAGGGTTTTAACTTTTAAAAATTGAAGAGGAGATATATTGGAAAGGAGCAAACCAACTATTACAAAATCAAACCCAAACCCCAATCAACTCTGACGTAGTTAACAGCATTGCAAGTGCAGATATATTGAAGCTGGTTTTGTATGAAGCCAGTCATCAGTAGTTTTTATAACCTGAAAATGTAAGATTAAGCTTACTAGAGATAAGATTTTTAAAGATATATTTTAGAGGGGGGTTGTTAGAATTTTTTTATATTTAAAAACTCAAACAGTTTACAGGTTTTGTGCATCTCAGTTGCTCTTCAGAAAATGGACTCTATGCTTTCATCAGAGGCTGCGTGGGTATCACAATACAAAGATATCACTGATGTAGATGAAATGAAAGTCCCAGACTGCGCTGAAACTTTTATGACCCTGTTGTTAGTTATAACAGGTAATTATGAGGCATTGCTCTTATTTGTAATGAATAGTAAAAAAACTTCAGCTAACAGATTTCTTTATTAAATATCCATTGTCAGCAGTAGTCACCAAATTATTTTGCAAAGTTGTGATGTTTGCAGTTTAATAGAAGCTTTCCTGTTTTGTATTTTGGACACTAACTCAAGCATGAAAAATCTTGAGCTAGTGACATGTTTACAAAACAATAATTTAAAAACACATTTGATGTTTAGCTTATTAAAATTCATACTTGAGAGAATATAATTTGTTACAATGCAGTAATAAAAAGTCCTACTATTCCTTTTGACTTTGTGACAATTTGGAAGGTATTAAGTAACATCTGCTTTCTTGGAACAGAACATGAGAGCAAGTAAGTTTTCAGGAGACTCTAAACTGTGTATTCACAGTGGCTTTATCTTACTGTATGTGAGCACGCTTTGGAGGCCACACTGGATGATGTGGTATAATCACATATTGCTTAAAGTATTGAATACAAAATGCGAGTGGAATCGGGAGGGGAAAGAATGTAGTTTCTTTACATGTTTAGCTTTTGCATTGAATATTTTCCCTGAAATCATTAAAATGTCAGCTGTTTTAAATACTCTATGATGTTATCACAGACTTAATGCTGTGCAGTAAGGTGACTGTAATGTTTCTTTTTGAAAATATTTTATTCGGTGTTGGAAAACCTGAAAACATTTTATGCATGTTTTTCCAGACAGGTATAAAAATCTTCCAGCAGCTTCCAGAAAACTGCAGTTCCTGGGCCTACAGAAAGAATTAGTTGATGATTTCAGGATACGATTAACTCAAGTAATGAAGGAGGAGACTAGAGCTTCCTTAGGCTTCCGATACTGTGCAATCCTTAATGCTGTTAACTATATAGCAACAGTGCTGGCAGACTGGGCTGACAATGTAGTAAGTAATTATTTTACTTAAAAAATAATAATTTAAAAATGGGCTTTGGATGTTTGTTTTATAACAGACTTCTTTATTTTCAACACTGTTGAAAAAAGTGTTGAAAAAATAGATATATAAATTCAGTTTTAATAAAAGATATATAAATAAGGATAAATTATTGTTTGAGCTCTAAGCTGTATTAATTATAAGCTTTTTAGGGAAATGCAGAGAGAGCCTGGGGAGTTGAATAATCTGAACAGATAAACAAGTAGTCTCCTTTACATGCTTTGTATTGTAAAAAAACAGAGCTGATTCTGGAGATTGCTGAGCCAGTATGATCAGCACCCATGTTGAAGTGCATGCAGTAGCCTGTGCATGAGACGTGAACTGCTCCCATGGGAGGTTAGCTCTAATGGGTTCAGCGTAGGTTTAGGTACTGCTCAAAAAAGGTACTCTATGATTAACTGAGAATTGGGAATTACTTATTTTGCTATATAATAGCCTGGTGGCAGCATGGCTGTTCTGTACCATTTCAGCTTTTCTATGGTTATTGGTACAAAAGGTCAAAAAAAAAAGTTACATGAAAGTGTGCAGAAATAGGTATTGTGTGTGAGATCAGCAACCTCCAAATTCCTTTTGTCTTCACAGGAGACTGTCTCTAGCAGAGGAAATCATGACTTGATAGGAGAGCAGCGTTCGTGTTGTATGGCTCTGTCTACCTAAGTGTCTTGATCTGCTTGAAAGCAAAACCAGCAAATTGTTACACTGTCACGTTAAACTCGATCTATTTTCTTGCTGTTGTCAGTGCAGCAAATTTGTGATTTAATGAATGGTTATTTCTAAAACAAGTTACAATTAAAGATTCTAGTTTACTTTTGCAAACATTAAAAAGGTTGAAATCAGGGTTTTTTTAAGCATTCTGCTGTCAATCTTACATCTTCTTAATATTTCTCTAGATCTGTTCCCATTACCTATCTGCTGTTGTATCTGAAAGCCATATTCATTCCATCACTAGAATTAAACCACTATGTTTTGTTTTCCACTAAATCAGGACCATGGGAAAAGATAAGAAAGTGTTCTTAAGATCTTAAAATTTTAAGTTTATAAATGCGTCAGGAGCATGTTTTCTAGAATGGTACCTATTAAACTACCAATGAAAAATACATATGGTAAGATTATTTTTTGTAGTATTAATTTCTGAGTTGTTTGGGTTTTTTTTCCTCTAGTTCTTCTTGCAGCTACAGCAGGCTGAACTGGAGGTCCGTGCAGAAAGTAATGCTGTCAGTAAACTACAGCTGGGGCAGCTGGCTTCGATGGAGAGTTCGGTCTTTGATGAAATGATCAACCTCCTGGAACGCCTGAAACACGACATGCTGACTCGCCAAGTAGATCATGTCTTCAGAGAGGTCAAAGATGCTGCAAAGCTGTACAAAAAAGAGAGGTGATTCTGGCTGTTTACTCTCCTCTCACATAACAATGTTATTTCCTGTTAAAAATATTGAGGTAAATAAAGGCAGGAATAGCTAATAGGCAGAATTATATTCCTGGATAGGAATGGCGCAGGGTAGTAAGTTTAGGAAAATTCTCTTGACATTCAAGACTGTTTTAATGCTATCACCCACAATCCTGCGTGCCTCCCACTCATGGAACTCGCCCTCCATGGCACCCCACCCACAACACACAACTACAAAAGGGGGCGCCCCGCCAAAACAAAAAGCCTACAGCACCCGGTATTCCCAGGCGGTCTCCCATCCAAGTACTAACTGGGGCGACCCTGCTTAGCCTATGCTTTCTAAAGTAGTTCCACAGTTAGTGGGCGTGTTGTCTCAAAAGCCCTAGGAAGATTTCTGGATCACTCTAGTCTGGACAAGAATTATTTTCTTCAGAGTAGTAATAAGGAGTTAATGCGAAATGGCCTGCAATGGCTGTTCTGTCTTCACAGGCTCTTAGGGCTTCTTGAGTTCTGAGTAGAATTTCTGAAGTACTTCATAAAAGGAAAACAGTTCCATGATTTTCTAGATCAGATGGGGTTTCTTTGGGACTTCAGAGATTTATAACTAATATTAAATAAAATTAATAAAATACATTAAATATTAAATGTAAATATAGCATTAGACTGTGATTACTTTTAGATTTGAAATGGGAAAGGAGAACTCTCTCTGAACCTTTGTAAATGGGTACAATTTTTTTTTAGGATAATTTTAACTTCAGTTGTAATGTGAATAATCATAATAACTTCAGTGTGATTTCTTTCAGGTGGTTATCTTTACCATCTCAAGCAGAGCAAGCGGTAATGTCATTATCGAGCACAGCTTGCCCAATGTTGTTGACCCTACGAGATCGCTTGCTACAACTAGAACAGCAGCTCTGTTACTCACTGTTCAAAATCTTCTGGCAAATGCTTGCAGAGAAAGTGGATGTGTACATATATCAGGAAGTAGGTATCAGCAAAACGTGGCCTGTGCAGCACAGCGTATGTGTAAGTGACTGGCCTAAACAGTAGCTGCACCTCTTTGTGTTCCAGATAATTATGGCAAATCACTTCAACGAAGGAGGAGCAGCACAGCTCCAGTTTGACATGAGTAGAAATCTGTTCCCTTTGTTTTCACACTACTGCAAGAGGCCAGAAAACTACTTCAAACAGTAAGTAGGCAAACTTCTGATCACTCAGAATTTCAGAATTCAGTGTCCAGATGAATATGTGTATTTTACGTATCACAGAGACTTTTTCACAGTTAGTTTTGATCCACACTTAAAATAGGTGAATCTTTTATGTTTCCAATGTTTACTACAGGTTTTGATTCTGCAGCATGCACTCAGACAGCAACAGACTGTGTTCTGGAGCATGTTGTGCAGTCAGGATGTCTAAATAAATTAACTTACGGAAGGAATATAAGTAAAACAGGCTTCTGAAACTGGGGCCAAAGAAATTACTCAAAGATACAGTTACAACACAAAAACTTTATTATTAGAAGAAAGACTACTTTAAACTACATCCTCTCTCAGAATTGCCTTGAACAGCAGCCTAGTTGCTTTCATTGACGAGAAGGAGCTCCCTTCTCTGTGGTTGGTTTTTTGCAAATAGCCCACAGACTTCTAAAGAGTCCAGCACTAAACTCCTGTGCTAACGGGTGCAGAAAACTTACTTAATATTTTTAAATCAAAATGGAGCATGGCATTCGCTCTTGAACACTTGAAGAAAAAGGTTATATATTGACATCTTTTAATTGGAATATTCATATAGCATGTTCAGGTTTAAGGGCTTTTTTAGCACATCACCTTTGTAAAGGTAATTGGCACATACATGTTAATCCCAGCATAAGAGGACACAGCTGCACGAAGAAACCATAAAAATAATGCATAATGGGTACACAGCTGTCTGTCTTGTTTAGACTAGAATAAATGTGACAAAGATAAGGTACCTGGTTGCTCCTTGATTATTTTAATTAGGGAAAGTGTTTAGGTTCTAGCAACTGTTAAAATTTAGCTTTTATAATATACTTAATTAGCAGTTTCTAATTATCTTAGGGGAAAACGTAGTTAAGGAAAGCTAGACAGATTAAGTGGTAAGTGCTTCTCGTATGAATCCATATAACTTTTCCCTGTAGCATTAAAGAAGCCTGCATTATCCTGAACCTGAATCTTGGCTCTGCCTTGCTTCTGAAGGATGTACTACAGTCAGCTTCAGAAAATGAACCATTAAAGCCAAACCAGCCATCTGCAACAGCAGCACTAAATGAACTTGGTGTTTACAAATTAGCTCAGAAGGATGTTGAGATTCTTCTCAATTTGAGAGCTAGTTGGCCAAGCCCAGGAAAATAAAGACTTCTTCAGGAATGGTGAATAACTTTGTCTAGATTACTTATTTCAAACAAAACCAAAATAAATATGTTGTAATATACTTGGGTGGTTTTTTCAATTACTGTATGCAGAACAAGTGGTTAATCTAATCTTATGCCTTATTCTATACAGTTGGCTATATATCTATATCTATATATAAATATATGTATGTATGTACAGTCGACTATTCTATACCTGACTTGGTTTCAAACTACACAGATTTTGTTTTCCATAGCCACCTTGCCATTGCATTTAGAAGTTTAAACTGTCTTCATCTCTAATGCGTCTGTCTGCCTGGTCAGTGATGTGTATGCTGACATCATTCTAACCGATACAGAGTAAATACACCTGTGTACAATATCAGTGACTCTTTGTGCACAGTTCCACTTTCACTTTAACACAGATGTTTTACATCTCTAAATCCCAGGTAATGGATGTTCTGTATTAAAATGTGTATAGCAGGACACAGAAGGAAGGAATGAAGGAATATGTCATTTGGTTTTCTTTATGCATACTAATTCAGTTTTTTTTCTTTGCTGTACTGGAATGTCTTTTTTTTTTCATTTCTCCTAAAAAATTGCATAAATACTGTGTTAGAATTTTGAAACTGGGGCTTTACTTGCAGGTGCTGCCTTTCTTTAACTGTGAATATTTGTCATAACTTGCTGAAGTTGGTCCTTCCTTTTAAAAAAAAAAAAAGGAACACAGAAAAACCCAAAACACAACTTAAGAGCCATTAACGTTACTTTTTTATTCAGTGGTAATTATCCAACAACTAACAACTCCTTCCTGTAAACTACCAACTGAAGGAGGAAACTCCAAAACAATTTTGGTTGGACAAAAAAGAGCTCTACTGTGTAATTATGCTAAGAAAAGCAATTCTCAAAAGATACCCCTCCAGAGCCAGTTATTGTCCTTTGTCCTTTTCAGTGAACTGCTCAAATGGGACTAAGGGGGAATGAGAAAAAAACAACTGAGCACAGCTGAAAAACCGTAATAATTGTGCAGGATGCTAATTTTTAATATATACAGCAGATCACTGCTCAAACTACTACACAGCCCAGCTCTCCAGCATCCTTTTCTTCCTAAAACACAAAAAAAATAATTCTAGTTAGATAACAAAGAAGAAATTTGTTCCAGTTACATTTCAGTGATTGCAGCAGGTACCAGAAAGCTGCCCCTAGAACCATGCCTTGAGCACAAGAAATTGCCACAACAATTGTTTCATCTACAGCTGTGTTACTGCCTAGGGCAATGACGGCAACGCTGCTTTGCTGTTTCACATTTCTAGATCGGTACTGGAACCCCTGGGCTACCTGGTGAGTGGCTGCCTGATCCAAGGGGTAGGTAATGAGAGAGGTCTGCTTTGAGAGGAGGAAAATGCCGTGTTTGGTTCAGGCAGTAACTGATCTTTTTAAATCTTGCAGTGCAAAGTAAAGGGGTTAGGCTTAAAGCAGCAAAGCCTTTTAATTATATGGTTTTGTAAATAAAAAATAAATTTCACTAAAATAGCTCCCGTGCAAACCCCTTTCAATTAAACTTACACTTCTTCTTTGAACATGCTCAGTGTGATGTTCTCACCATCTCCAATCTGCAGATCTTCAGTGCTCAGTCCTAGAGTTTTAAGAGCTGAAGGGAAGAAAATTTCTATGCAAATCTTGGAAGGATTAATTTAATGCCTTATAGTGGCCTAGATATAATAAAAACATGTACCTTAAAAATACGTAACTTTTAAAACTTTCCGAGTTCCAGGTTGTGTATTAGCAGGTGTGTGGAAACTTTTATGTGTAGCTTTGAAACAGTTTTATAATTCTGTACAAACAAGCCCTTCAGAAGGCCCTGCTGTTCAGGTGAGACGCACCTTCTCTGTACTGCACTGCTGTGATGTGGCCTCGGCCCACGACATCCAGCAAGCTGAACATGGCGGCCAGGTTCTCCTCATCCATGAGGTAAGGGTAGTCCCCCGCGGCGCGTCTGGCAGCCTTCACCCTTTGCAGCGCCTGGATCAGGAACTCGCGTGGGCTCTCTGCAACGAAGTAAAATCGCCCACATACGCAGGTCGATTACCTTGGGACCGAAGGCCAGTCGATCCTTTCCCAGTGCCCGTTTTCCCGGCAGGGGAGGCCCCGCAGCAGCCTCGGCCCGGCCTGCCCGCGGGGCGCGGTGCCGCACCGGG